AAATGTTGTTGTTTCATAATTTCTTCAAAAATTAAGAATGCCAGTGGTGTCCAATTGTCATGGCCATCTATAGTCCTGTGCAGGGTTTTTTTTTGTAAAAAAAAAAAAAAAAAGGTGCCGGAACTCACACACGTTATACAACCCGCCTTGCCTACCCTACAAAGTTCCATCCAAAAAAGGTGCCGGAACTCCATTCTGGGCGTTCTATGACAAAAAAAATCCCTGGTCCTGTGGAATCTGTTGAGGCTTTTTCTGTCGAAAAAAACCGTAATGCATTTTTTTTACATTCCCAGCCTTTACAGCCTTTCTCCAACAACCATTTTTGTTAGCCGAACTGACAAGAACAATGATTAATAGCCAGGATTATTTTAGCTGTCTCATATAGAAGGACACCAGCTTCTAAAAAGACCCAAAAGACATCTGTCAATTCTTTTTCTGTGTTAAATGGACACCTGTTGATGCTTTACAAAAGGAAACATAAAGCTAGAAATGCTTTGCAGTTTTATCTATGTGGGGAAAGGGATCAGTACATCAGAAGTACTTCAGGCCGGTTAACTGCAAGATTTATGTATGTTGGGCATACTTATGAGTCACTCTCAGGGGAGTAGACTTATGTGTTATGGTTTACGCTATTGGCTTGGTTAAAAAGTACAGTATAGTACGCACTTCATATATTTTTTTAAAAAAAAAAGTTCCTGGAACAGACTGAGTCAGAAGGAAGGATTTTGGGTAAATCTATTAACTAAACAGTTCGTTAGTACAGTACAAATCTTCTTTGGCTGAATAATATGCGTCATAAGATGTTATTTGTAACTCACACAGGGAATTCCATTCAGACCATCCTTTACAACAGATTATTCTATCTAAACAAAATATATTTTTAAATTAGGGCTCTAATGGCGCAGTGGTTAGAATGCAGTACTGCAGGCTACTTCTGCTGACTGCCGGCTTCCTGCAGTTTAGCAGTTTGATTCTCACTGACTCAAGGTTGACTTAGCCTTCCATCCTTCAAAGGTCAGTAAAATGAGGACCCAGATTGTTGGGGGCAATAGGCTGACTCGGTTTAGAGAGAGCTGTATAGCACTGTGAAGCAGTATATAAGTCTTAAGTGCTGTTTATATTGCTATATAAATGGATACAGTGATCCAGAATTTTGAGATTGGAATCTGAAGGCAAGTTTCTGGATGGCTCCTATTGCTAGAATTCTTTCTGTATTACTAGAGAAGACTTAAGCAACATGGTACTCATAAATTAGCAATGTGTCAGTAGACATGATCCTTGATGCCCTTCAGACACCAACTTTTAAATGAAATGCTGCAAAGAGCAAAGTTTCTCCTTTGCCTGCCCTCTGGAACAACGTTCCCCAAAGGATCTGTATGTCTTCTCATCTAAAAGTATCCTGTAGTCTTTAAAAACTTTGCTTTGCTTTTTAGGAGTGGGGATACAATGGTTGCTGAACTCCTGTTCAGTTTATTTTATTGTTTATAACTTTTAATAGGTAAACTTGCTAGAGTCATTTAAATGTAATATACAGTGCGTGTATATGTGAGTGTGCATGCCCATACACACAAACATACATAAAATATTAACTGTCTATAGTATTCTCTCTTCCATTTGGGACTTTTTATATTGCTGCCATTCCATCTGAAATAGTGCTATCTAAGATTAGATCAGTGCCAACTTTATATTGCTGTCATTCCATATGAAATAGCATGTTAACTAAGATTAGATCAGCGCCAAACTGTCAAGATGATAGTGTTTCTGGAAAGACTTTGGGGATACAGAGGAGACCGGAGTTTCGCTCTTGCATGATGTGGTGTTATTCAAAGTACAGCGGTACTCAGTGTGGATGATGGTTATTTCATTTTTCTACTGTATGATAGGATTATTATCCTATCATGTGTAAGGTAGCCTTACACATTAGATAGATAGATAGATAGATAGATAGATAGATAGATAGATAGATAGATAGATAGATAGATAGATAGACAGATAGATAGATAGATATTGTTTTAAAGTTTGGATGTAATGAGTGCATGCCATTTAGAGTAATTTCTAACAGAAGCATATTTTTATCAAAATGCCTTGAGTGCCCACCTATGTGTTATGGGCATGCCTAGAAAATCAAATAGATACTTAGAGTAGAATAATAACTTTATTGTCACTTTGAATGTACTCTAATCGGCATACATTAAAATGAAATTTCGTTGCATACAACTCTCAAAAGGGTCACCACCTCCGATATACACTACATAAATATGACAGAAATATACCCACTTCAGCCTATGGCATGTTTGAAAGTGCAATCATTAACCCCTAATAATAATTAAAATAAGCTGGAGGGGCAAGACACATCTGCAGGAAAATATTCACACCAGTGTGCATTTGGGTAGATGGCTGCTGTTACATCACCAAAACTGCTATGGCAGTAATTCACTAAACATTATTTTCTCTCAAGAATGTTCTTTTTTTTTCTCGACACCACCCCCCTGGTGAAAACTTTATATTCTTCTGCATTTTCATCATAGTTACTTGGATTCATTTCTAGACAGAATATTTTACAAGGTCCATAAGAAAGTAATGTAACATATTAGCTGCTCTACAGAGGTCATTAACCAATAATCTTCCAGCTGTACTTCTGCAAGGATGTTATTTAATATCTGGAAATCTCATGGAAAATGAAAATTGTTGGCTGTTCTAAGGCTAATATTTTAAATGTCTATGGAGATTCTCAATCATATTCCAGTAATATTTTAGTGAATTCAGCAAACTGTAAATCATAAGCAGAAGAAATATTTAGATTTTGCACTTGATTTCTAAATCATGGTTGGTTAACAAATACACTTCCTATGCTAGTTTCCAGGTTATTAACCTTCTCCTCTATGATGTATTCCCTGCCTTGTTCCAAAAAAGAAAACATATTTTAGCATATATGTGTATATTTATATAGGGGTACTACACTAAATTATGAAATTTAGTGTTTCTCAAATTAGGGTTTGGCAAAATATAATTGGGCAATCTTAGTTTCAGGTCAATTAAAACTCTACAGCTGTGGTCCTCAATGGAACTGCATCTACATGGAGGGAAGTGTATAGCTCTGTTCTAGGCCCAGTGCTCTTCAACATCTTCATCAACGATTTGGACGAGGGGATAGATGGGGAACTCATCAGATTTGCAGATGACATCAACCTGGCAGGAATAGCCAACACTCCAGAAGATAGGCTTAAGATACAAGAGGATCTGGGCAGACTTGATCACTGGGCGCTATCTAGCAAAATGAAATTCACGATGTAAAAAAGATGTTGAGACTCTAAAAAGAGTACAGAGAAGAGCAACAAACATAATTAGAGGACTGGAGGCTAAAACATATAAGAAACGGTTGCTGGAATTGGGGATGTCTAGTTTAATGAAGAGAAGGATGAGGGGGACATGATAGCAATGTTCCAATATCTTAAGGGCTGCCACAAAGAAGAGGGAGTCAAGCTATTCTCCAAAGTGCCAAAGGCAGGACAAGAAGCAACAGATGGAAACTAATCAAGGAGAGAAGCAACCTAGACTAAGGAGAAACTTCCTGACAGTTAGAACAATTAACCAGTGGAACAACCTGCCTCCAGAAGCGGTGAATGTTCCAACACTGGAAGTTTTCAAGAAGAGACTGGACAGCCATTTGTCTGAAATGGTATAGGACAGTGGTTCTCAACCTTTCTAATGCCGTGACCCCATAATACAGTTCCCCATGTTGTGGTGACCCCCAACCACTTATACATCACCGGGTGCCAGGGGCCTGGCCAAAGAAAAGGGGGAAAAATGGCGGACAGCCTTGTTTGGCGACCCCGTGAAATGGTCGTTCGACCCCAAATGGGGTCCCGACCCACAGGTTGAGAACCACTGGTATAGGGTTTCCTGCCTGAGCAGGGGGGTGGACTAGGTGACCTCCAAGGTTCTTTCCAACTTTATTATTATTATTAAATTTGAAATTATAGATGTTGCAACATGTACTCATTCTAAGAGGAGATCACAAGCGAGTAACTTTTGAACATATAGCAGGACAAACATCACAGTTGATTAATCACTGATTAGTTGTAGATGAATGGTTTTAAAAAAAGATTCCTTTTTCATTTTCTTTCTTTTCTTTTTTTTTCTTTTTCTTTTTAAATATTTTTTTTTCTTAATGTTTACGTTATATATATCCTATTATTAATTATTTTATAAATTGTTAAAATTTGTTTAGTTTTCTTAAAATTTTAATTAAGCCTATATTCAGTTCTGGGAAGCTCGGGGGGGGGGATGGAGGGGGTGGTTTGGGAGGGGTTGGGTGAGGGTTGGTTTTTTTTGTGTTGTTATTTGTAAAAACTTTTAAAAATTTTCAATTAAAAAAAAAAAAGATTCCTGTCATCTCACTTTCAGAAATGGGATTTGTGAATATTGCTATTTCTAACCTCCTCCCCAATATAGTTATGAGTAGAATATTTTGGAACATAATTAAATCATAGCTGCATCATAATCCAATATTGGGCACAGGAGGATTCAATTATAATTTAATACAGCATACGAGTTTCATCTCACTTTTTTGCTTTTACTGCAAACAGATAATCTATTTTTGGTTATTAAAAATGAAAAGCAGTTCTTTGATAATTGTACACAATAGCTTGCAGGCTTTGGGTTGCAAACTTACAATATAATCTAAAATGGTCCTATTTGCAATGTGTTGAAGAAATGAAGCGGGCAAGTGATAGGAACTAAACTTGAACTGAATGTTGTTGTTTTAAATTAAATTGCAGGAGAGTAAGATAGTACAACAGTGCTCATATCTTTCCGTTTCAGGTCAAAGTTAGGAAGAAATGCCTAGATAGACTTTCTTGTTAATGGCATAGAATAATTGCCTATGTCACTTGTAAAGCCTGTTTCCTACGTAGCGATCAGCTACGTTCTCTGGCATTGTGGCATTTCTGCTATGTTGCTTTATCTTCTGATAACTTGTTCTCTTCTTCCTTTGGCAGTTGCATTTTCAGGCCTTGGCTTTACCACTTTCTACTTGGCTGGCAAGCTGCACTGCTTCACTGAAAAAGGTCGTGGGAAAAGCTGGCGGCTCTGCGCAGCAATTCTACCTCTCTATTGCGCCATGATGATTGCTCTATCACGCATGTGCGATTACAAGCATCACTGGCAAGGTGAGTCATGGTATATACCTGCCTTCTCTTAATTGTCCTTGCTGTTTCTGGAATATGATTTAGGCAGGCGGTGAGGAACAAGATCAAACGTGACGGTTTAGCATATGTATCCTGAAAATGGCTAATTAAATCATTGAAAGAGCATGAGATCAGATGAAAACAAAATGAGATGCTGGTGAGGAACCATTTTGTTCTTTTCTATAGATAGGTGAGTTCAGCCCAGCCTAACTCTTCGTGAAAGTAGGTTTTCACTCTGCCAAGTGGGGCTTATCCCTAGATAACAGGATTGTAGACAAAGAGATTCAGGTTGCTTCTTCCAGTCCATGAAGACACTGTACTTTTACAGGAAAGGACTTAGTCCCTCAATTTCTTTTTTTATGATCTTTGGAGCTTGCTTTAATGATGTTGGGCAAAGGTTCTTGGATGCATACATGACTCCATGTAGGAAATGTATTAAACTGTACTGTAAGTCCTAGAATTTATATATTTAACAATAAGAAGAAAAAAACTTAATGAAGCAGTTTTCAAGAATTCTTGAAAAGATTTTTAGCAGTCTAAAAGGAAGGAATCATCAGTGATATTTTACTTTGCCCTTCAACAATGGGAGCATTACCTGAATGAAATTCCACATGTGACAACTCTAAATTAAATCCAGAAATTTGTATTGTAATAATCAGCAATTAGGGTGGCCATTATAAAATAAATCAAAATTATCAAAGTTTAATTCTGCTCCCTGTGTGTTATTAATTTATGTTAGGGCATGTGATGATTTACCAAATCAAATTCAATTCACCAAATAGACGTCACCTTACACTGTTGCATAACAGTCTTTCCCAACATATCCCTCAGATGTATTTGAATTGCAACTCCCTGAATTCCAGGCCAACTTGGGCATTGTAGTTAGTCTTAACACAACTGCAGAACCAAGTTAAGAAAAGCTCTTAAAAGATATTGAGCAGCTAATGTGACTTACAGGAAGAATATTAAGCATTAATCTGACTATTTTTGTGTTAGGTTTCACTGCAAATAACTGTACATTGACCTGTATATTCAAACTTTACTTGCACATTACAGAGGTTGGTAAAAATAATATTCCTGAATAATTTCTGGTGTCTATGGCCCATAGATATATGGGAGAATAACATCATGATTTGAATGGGAACATTTTTTTCATAGGGAGATTAATTATCAAGGATAACTATTTTTGTTTTTCTATTTTCATCCTTTAGTATGGTAAGCCTACCCAATACTGGAGCCATTATTGTTTTTTTATGAAATTTCAGGAGGCTCCAGAGTTTTGTAACTAAGAGTTCGTGGATTTCTAATTGTCCAGCACTTATATACTGGAAGCATTAGCAAAATTTAGAAAAGTCACTATGTAGATATTATTATGCACACAGATATTTAGAGTAAAAATAATAGGGCTATCAGATTTGCTGGATGAATACATACTGAAATATGGTTTTAAGAAATGTATTCCACCAAGAGCCATAATTATTCACATGATGAAATAAGTACTGTGTAATTACAGTTTCTAAATAGTGGAAATAGATTGCACCCAAGAGGACTACTATGTGTCCATTACAGCAGCATATGCTTGTCTTTGAAGTTCAAAGAGATAGAACTGGAATAAATCAACTAGCTGCATTTTTTTCTAAGTGTGTGTTGGAGGAGGGAGAAAGCAGAGATATTATTAATGGCATATTTTTCTTCAAATGATCTTAATGCTTATCAAAATGGGTCACATCCTGAACTAATGTTTGGACAAAGACCAATTCTACTCAGTATCCTTAAGCTGCTTGTCTTCATGCTGAAACCAGCTGGCTTAAGAAATTGATGCCTAGAATTCTAACTTTGGCAATAATGTTAAACATGTGTTGTTTTTGGATAGTGTTATCCTGATGGGTTTATTCTCCTGCTTTTCCATCTGTTTTCCACATGTCCTTGGAAAACATGTGTGAATAGGTTTCTTAGCCATGGATGGGTCTTCAATAGCATATTGATTCTATTGTTAGAAGACTGTTACGAAGGAGCATTGATGACATGTAATGTTGCAAGTACACCAGATATTTGAAGAAGTAAAAAAAAAAACATTGGAAGAACATCTGAAGGGCAATGAAGAAGTGCACTGAAGTTAATACACCATTAAGACTTATTGAATATTGGAGAGACCAAACTGGCCTACAAGAATGACCAAATGAAGACTAGAAAAGAGGCAGTCTAAACATCTGGCTAACTATGCAACCAAGCATAACAGTAATAATAACATCTAGACCAGGGGTAGGCAACCTTGGCTCTTTTATGACTCCCTGCTGGCTCAGGAATTCTGGGAGTTGAAGTCCATGAGTCATAAAAGAGCCAAGGTTGCCTAGACTGATACTGAAAAAAATGACTTATGACTGGTTTTTCACACTTACAACCTTTGCAGCATGCCTAGAGTAATGTTATCAAAATTCAGATATCTGGCAGTTGGCATCTATTTATGCCAATTGCACCGGGATCAACATTTGTAACCTTCCCAGCTGGCCTCTGAAAAACAAAATCAATGGGGGAAGCCAGATTCACTTAACGACCACATGATTCATTTAACAACTGTATGTGACAAAAAAAGTTGTAAAACAGGGCCCAACTCACTTAACAACTGCCTTGCCTAGCAACTGAAATTTTGGGCTTAATTGTGATCGTAAATTGAGGCCTACTTGTAATTGCTTTAACAATTACTGGCTATTTCAGGAGCTGAACTTTATAGAGAAATGCCTAGATATCCAACGTGTTGATCTGATTGTAATTTTCCAAACGGGAATAAGATCTGGATGTGCTAATGGGAATAATTATACATTTTCATCTTTGATTCACCACAATAAGTATCTCTAGAGATAAAGAGCAAAACCTTAAAAATCAGATAGAAAATGAAAAGTTTGTTGTTGTTTTCCAATACTTTTGTTATGCCTTAAGCTTTAGGGAAAGGAAATTCTTGAAGAAACTGCTCTGGAGATGATTACAAGTATTAAATTAATTATAACTGCAGATAAACAACATGTTGGTGTTGTTGTTAAGTCGTGTCCGACCCATTGCGACCCCATGGACAACATTTCTCCAGGTCTTCCTGTCCTCTACCATCTTCTGGAGTCCATTTAAATTCACACCTAATGCTTCAGTGACTCCATCCAGCCATCTCATTCAGTGTTTGTGCTCGCCAGAGCCTCATTTCAAATGATTTGCCAAATAGAAACAGCACAATTGCTGAGTTTGGGCAATCAAAAAAAGGGGGGGGATACACACACACACACACACACACACACACACACACACAAACCCCTTGTGCTAAGCCCGGTTTTTATATTACATGAAGTCTCTGAGATTACTGTGAAAGCTTTTTATGTGATCTTAGCCACAAAAATGTTCTCACCCTGCTCTAGGTTTATCCAGGAAATCCTCAGAGCAAGGCTTCCCACCTGTTGGATGCTTAAAATTAGTCATACCTTATTTGACATATCATATCATATGGTGCTGCTCTTGAAAACCACCCAGAAGTTTCAAATGGTCCAGCATGTAGTACTGTAAGCAGTGATGGTCATGCCTCAACATTAAGGTGACCAACCGTTCTCCTTTAGGGAGGAGAGTCCTCCTTTTGTAAGTTCTGTCCTCCCTCGGAAAGTGTCCTCCTACATGTCCTCCTTTTCGATATTTGAAGACTAACTAATTTGCAGGGCTTTTTTTTCTCATAGAACGCTCAGAACGGCATTCCGGCACCTTTTTTTGTTGGGTTTTTTTTTCAACTTTTGCATGAGCTGTGCTACCCCCCCTATTGGCTTTCGAAAGCCAATAGGAATTGCTGCTGAGCAAGCCAAAACACCCCGCTGGCAAACTTTGCACATGCAAGTTGTCTGCAGCAAAGGTGAATTGGCAGGAACTTTGCACCCCTCTCTGCTACCCAACTACACCTTCTCCTAGTTAGTCCCAAAGATACCTGGAGGAGACTAACTTCCATTTAGGGATGGAAAAATCAAAAAAGAAGAAATGCCATTTCATCGATAAATTGAATAAGGAATTTCCATTCATCACATCAAAGAAGGATCACATTTTTTCTACAATATTTGCAGCAGAGAATTTTGTATTGCAGTTGGGGGCAGAGCTGCTATTACGAAACACTTGACCACCAAGAAACATAAGCAATCATCAGATGCATCTGCTTCCAGTTGTAAAGTAACAAGTTTTTTTAAAACTTCAAAGTATTCTGAAGATGAAAAACAGTTAGCTGCAATGGAGGGAACATTTGCATTCCATACCATACCATAATTCACAAAGTTTTCGTAGTATGGATTGTACAACTAAATTATTGAAAAAGTTTCACAATGCTAAATTTTCAGGAGCCAGGACAAAATGTGAGGCTATTATTAAATCAGTATTTAAAAAATTACTGTGACAAAATACTTACAGAAGACTTGGAAACTGCAGCATTTGTAACGGTTTTATCTGATGCATCCAATCATAATGAAACTAAATTGTATCCAATACTAGTAAGATATTTTAATGTTACCAAGGGCATTCAAGTAAAAATTTTAAATTTAGAATCCATTCAGGGCGAAACTGCTGAAATTTTGTCAAACCATCTATACAGAGTAAGAAATGAAAACAATTTGAAATCCAAAATTATTGCACTAACAGCGGATAATGCAAACACAAATTTTGGTGGGCGAAAACACAAAGGGGTGAATAATGTGTATATAAAATTACAAGATTTACTCCAAAAGAAAATACTAGGAATAGGTTGTAATGCATATATTTTGTCAAATGCAATCAACACGGCGTCATGTGCCATGCCAATTGATGTAGAAGTAATAATAACTACAATTTATTTGTATTTTAGTCGTTTTACCGTTCGTCTGGCTACTTTAAAACAATTTTGTGAAGAAGCGAATGGTCAATACAAAAAACTTTTAGGATATTCAAAAGTTAGATGGCTTGCTCTAACACCTGCTACAGAGCATGTTCTACAATTATTTGAGCCTCTCTGTTCATATTTTTTAAGGTTAGACAAATGTCCTAAAATCCTGGAATTGTTTTTCAATAATGAAATATCTGAGATATTAATGTATTTTGTACATAATCAAGCATCTATTTTTCACAAAATGATTCAAAAGATTGAAGGTGAACACATTTCATCTACAGAAGTTAGTCTTATTTTGAACGACTTTATCCTTCAATATAAAACTCGATTTGAAGAAAAATTTCTTCCTTTAGTTATAAAAAGAAAATTGTCAGACTTAGAGGAATCAAATCTGGGCATAACGGAAAAGAAGTGCATAATTTTTACCAAACATGTTTTCAATATATCGAAAAATGGTCTGAAACAAACATCACAGGAAATAACAGTATTCAATGATTTTTTTGACTTCATCGCAAGTATATTGGACAGATATTGAATCTTGTGTTAAGTTTTTATCTAATGAAATGCCAGACATTAAAATAGACAACAATTGTCCCTTTGAAGAAATTAGAAGACTGAATGTATTTTTAAATTCTGAAAAATTAATACAATGGAAAAATAAACACGTTGGAATTGATAAAAGATGGGTGGAAATATTCAGCCATTTCAAAGATGAACATATTCCATGTGAAAATGTATTTATTCTTGTTCAATTTACGTTGTGCTATCCTGGAACTAATGTAGCAGTTGAAAGGGATTTTTCAATTGCTAATGATTTTTGGAAAAGTGAGAAATCGAGATTGAATGTTGATACTCTAGCTGTAGCACTTGCTGTAAAATTCAATATGAAGGATATTTCTTGTTCAGATATTTCCAATATATTGTTAGAAGATGATACATTGACAAAAATATTCATTCAGTGAAAAAGTACTCATTTAAATAATAATTAATAGGCATGTAAGCATAATTACAATATAAAATGTTATTGTTACAAATGTTTTTATTATGCATTATCATATTATAGTGTATTCTGTATTATTGTTGCAATGAATACAATATTTCTTTTATTTACGATATTTTTTCTTCTATTTATTTGTGTCCTCCTTTTCATTATAAAAAAGTTGGTCACTTTATCAACATGCTCCTGTGACACTTCTGCTCTGTGAGGTGCAGAAGTTGCCAGTTTGTTTCCAGTTATGATTCAAGATGCTGGTTGTCACCCATAAAGCTGTATATGACACAGTGCTTGGTTACTTGAGGGAACCACCTGTCTCCATAGTATCTGCTTGACCAAATTTAGGCTTGGCACACTTTGGGGGTCTTTCACTTAAACAATGCTATTGATTGGGATCCTAGAACCATCTTCTTTATGGCAGCATCTGCCCTCTGGAATGAGATTCTCTCTGAGATCTGAATGGCTCCTGCCGTGTTGGTGACTCAAAGGGGCCAGACGCCCTGGCTGTTAACCCAGGCCTTTGGTGGGGATAACTGAAACCTTCTTTCAGTTTGGATTATTTTCTTTTATTTCTACCCATTTTCTCTGCCTTTTTTTCTTACCGATTTTATTGTCCTATTTTCATGTTTTAAATCATTTGTAAACCACTCAGAGTTACAATTTACCACTAGTAGTACTACTAGTAATATCTATTACTACTACTACCCGCTTACCTTAGGACTGCCGCAGCAAGGCCTTCCATGGCCCGACACCCGTCTCGTCTTGCCGGCCCACTTCTGTGGCCACTCATCGCTGCTCATGCGCATCACCCCTGGCCTCTGTTTTGCCAGAAGAAGCCTTCAGGAAAAGCCTCTGCAGCTGAAAAGAGCTCTGGATTGATGCGCATGGTGCCTCCTGGCCTCTGTTTCAGGAAAGGCCTCTGATGGTGAAGTGGAGGCTGGGGACATTGTGCGCATAAATCCGGAGTTGTTTCTCGGCTGCAGAGGCCTTTCCTGAAAGCCTCTGATAGTGAAACGGAAGCTGGGTGCGATGTGCGGGAGTGGCTGTAGAAGAAGTGGGCCAGTGAGGCAGGTGTCAGGACATGGGATGCCTGGCTACAACTGTCCTAAGGTAAGTGGGTGCAGAGCACGGGGGGAGCTCCACTCTCCCATTCCTGACCTAGCTTGATTTTTACCTATGCACCTCACCCCACTTCGTGCAAGCAGGTGCAATGGAGTGGGACAGGGTCTTAAGTAGGAATGATTTGGGGGCTTATTTTGGGGGTAGATCTTATTTTCAGGAAAACATGGTGGTAGTAGTAACATCTGAATTAATCATGTCAGAATATCTATAAGTATTCTACTTCACTATTTTTAAAAATTATCTCAATTGAAAGTCCATTGTAAATAAAAAGAATCTGCCTGGTACATAAAAATTTATAAAAATATCAGGGATTCAAATGGATCTGAAGAGGTTTTCACAAATATGACATCTTTTCAAGTACCTGCGAGGTCCAGGATTTGGGGTATCTTTTGACAAGATGCTTATTTTGTCCCCTAACACTCTGAAAATGTAGGATATGCAAACTTTTCAATTCTCTTATCCTATAATTGATTATATAGAATATATGCAAATGAGACAAAACAAAATCCACACAGAGAAAGAAACTATAGGAGACACTTGTCTGAGGTACAATAGGTCTCATAATGTCTCCATTATAAGAATAAGGCATAATTTATAGTGGACAAGGCTGTTTGAGGTATTTTTTGTTTTAGCATTTGCCATTTTTCCCTTTATATAATTTGTGCACAAGCATACACTGGAAGTGTAAGGGTTGCAAACAAAAGCTGGAAAAAAACATTCTTCACAAAGTTACATGTGTTTGACTGATGTGGGAAATGCCACAGATTTTTGCAACAGGAGTATTAATACAGAGAGGAAAAATCATTCTTTTGCTTTAGCCATTCAGAGAACTAAAGTACTTTTATTTGATTTCCTACCATTGAAATGTAAAAGATATGTCAATACTCTCTGCACTGCACTTATTTGCAGTAGCAGCGCTCTCATTTTATTTTATTTTTTAATTTAAAAAGTTAGAAAATAACTTCATGCGATTAACAATGCTGTTTGCTTTAAAACTATTTTTAGGTATTTCAAAAGACTTAAAGATCCTAATGCCTTAGTTCATTGAGATAATGAGATTGTATCTGCCTTAAAATAGTTTGAACACAAAATTATACCGTATATTCCGGCGTATAAGACGACTTTTGAGAGCGATGAAACAGCCTCCGAACTCGGGGGTCGTCTTATACACCGAGTCATAACGTTTATTTATTTATTTATTATTTCCGGCGTATAAGATGACGTTCTAGGCATGCGACTCGGTGTCGATCATCTTATACGCCGGAAATGACGTCATTTCCGGCATATAAGATGATCGACACCAAGTCGCATGCCTAGAAAGTCATCTTATACGCCGGAAATAACGTTATAAACTACGTTTATTTCTGGCGTATAAGATGACGTTCTAGGCATGCGACTCGGTGTCGATCATCTTATACGCCGGAAATGACGTTATTTCCGGCGTATAAGATGATCGACACCGAGTCGCATGCCTAGAAAGTCATCTTATACGCCGGAAATGATGTCATTTCCGGCATATAAGATGATCGACGCCGAGTCGCATGCCTAGAAAGTCGTCTTATATGCGACTCGGCGTCGATCGTCTTGCGACCTGGCGTCGAACTCGGGGGTCGTCTTATACGCCGGGTCGCCTAATACACCGGCATATACGGTACTTTAATTAGTCTCAGGGTTTAATTTACAGCTACCAGCACCATTTTTTAAGTCTTTAATTTATTATTTTATAATATAAAGATTGGAGATCACAACTTAAAAAAAGATTTCCTTAAGTTTGAAAATTTTGAATTGTTTTCTTTAAAACAATTTAAGCTGCTGAATCTACCAAATTTCTTTGAACCTAAACAAAAAACTTTACCCTAGAACAGAAGCCATCTCCTTAACTTTTAGGCAGTCCTCGACTTACAGCATTTGTTTAGTGACTATTCAAAATTACAGTGGCCTTAAAAACAGCGACTTATGACTGCTTTTCACATTATGATCATTGCAACATCCCCAAACTCATGTGATCAAAACTGAGAGCTTGGCAAGTGACTCATATTTATAACAGTTGCAATGTCCTGGGGGTCATGTACTCACCTTTTGCGATCTTCTGTCAAGCAAAGTCAATGTGGAAGCCAGGTTCACTTAACAACTGTCCTACTAACTTAACAGTTGTAGTGATTCACTTAACAACTGTGGCAAGAAAGGTTGTGAAATGGGGCAAGATTCATTACCAACTGTCTTGCTTATTTTGGGATAAATCGTAGTTGTAAGTTGAAGACTGTCTATATTCTTTTCCCTGATAGGCCATTGCACCAGTCCTAGAAAAATATGAAGGATCTCATTAGGCCTAGCACTGGTGTAAAATAATTGTAAAAGCTAAAACTGAAAATTACCAAATGACTACTTATAAAGCCTATATTATATTTTATGAAGTCAACTGCATTAGCCATAAAGTTTTAAAAGATATATGCTTTGATATGTATAAATCAGCTTATACAATGTTGGATTTGACTTTCCAGATTGGATATTTATAAGCAAGCCCGCTCTTGTCAGTTGCTACTATGGTAGGTGCTTCCTTTGAATATTTATGCTTGTATTTTATAGAATTGGAGGATAAGTGGAAGCCAGACTCTTAGAGTATAACTTGTTTTGCCCAATTTCTGAAGTCATGAAATGATCTAGAGGACTTAAATTCGCATTTCTTAAAAACCCTTGATAGAATTATAAAGATACATTATGGCTTTTATTTATTCCATCCTTGTGTAAATGAGATTACATGGCAGAGATTCTATTGGAAAATAGTAGCTGTAATCTACAGTATATATTCCAGCATCTCAGCAGAGAGTGAATGTTTCAGATGGTTTAATGGAGAGAGTGTGCTGTATATAAAAACTACTTAACAGTTAATTCTGATAAAAAGCCATTCAGAAAGTGATAGAAGTAAACTTTCCAATGACATTAACTTTGGAAATCTTATGATGCTTTCCTTTATGTCAAGTATGGGTACATTACTATTAGTAATACAGCATTCTAAAAGCTTCTCATGTGCCTGTAGTTATACAATTGTTGTTTTTGAAATGTATATGCTGCCTGATTTCCAGCAACTCTGGGTGGTTTGAAATGTTTCTATTTCTAAGATTATACTCTTGGGAGAAAGAGAAAAATGGAATGCAAAATGATCTGTGGAATACATATGTGGAATATGATAATGAAATCTCACCCTGTGTTGCTGCTGATGGCAGAGTGGAGGAGTGCTGGAACAGCTCGTTTTTTTCTCTCCACAGAATAGTTTTACTTTAAGTGGTTCCATCTTTGTGCTGCATATCAGCATATCATATAAGAGGCATATTTTTGTAAAGCTGGAGTTTCTATCTTGGGTAAAACCACATAGCAGGATAGTAAAGACTCTCATTTATATTCCTCCCTGCATCTGCTCTTTCTTTACGAGATCTATTATTGGTTACTAATCTCCCCTTTCCAGACATGTACACAAAATGTTTAGTGGGTTATTGGTTGTATAAATATTCTGGAAATATATTCCAAAGTTATCCTCCCAGATGAACAAGAAATATTTCTGAAAAACTTATTGAGCTCACCAGCAGGAGTGTAGTCATGCCAAAGCCCACCTTGGGTCATTATTTCATTTTTCACAGCAGCCTACCAGACATTGATCAACCTTACTAGGAAATGAATAGCAGATAAACTAATTCGGCTTTATTGTAATGTAAAGCTATATAATATCAGAATCTTGCAAGTGCAATTCTCTTGACATCACTTTTATAGTCCAAGGACTTAGAGTCGGTCCCTTCTGAGCATCTTGCTCCACCTACTATGCACCTACAGGTTATGCTGTCTATTATCGGACCAGTTCCTAGACAACATCATCCCATCTCCTATGGTCTTTCCCATATTTCTGATGCAGTCCTTTACCATATTTCTGATACAGTTCTGATGTGCTTGTTCCCCAGCAGCCAGTGCCCCAATCTGAAGGTATCAATGCATCTTCAGAATTAAGCCTTTATAGACCAGCCATCCATGAAATTAGGTTACCTCCTTCTAAAACCATTCAAGGTTGTGGCCTCTGTCTCAATGAATTTTACTGGTTAACTATATTTAATGTTAAAAAGTGCTTTCGTAGATCTGTGCTAAATCTCCTTCCAATCAGCTCACTACTTTATATATACACATGTTTGCCATGTCTATAAGGAATGAATATAGATTACTTGAGCATAAGAGAACCTTTATTGTTGTCCAGGTTAAATTTGTTTGCTCTTATTTGGATGCTATGTTATCAAAGATTCCTTTGATAGCAATTGAGTCATTCATCAGCTGTATTAATGCAAGTCATATTGGTTATGTTGGGTTAGCTGCCATCTTAATTCTCATTTTCTTTGGAATATTAATGCTACAGGTTTCTGCAGAAGAGAATGGTATATTAAAATGGTGGCTAGGCAGCATGGAGAGACTCAAGGTAGAATATTTATCACAACAGTGCAGTACTTTGAATTCAACATAGTACCAGCTAAATCTCTTTGAAACAGCTGTGCGATTCTGGAAAAAGTACAGAGTATAAATATATTGTATGCAGCTGGAGGGGAAGTAGCTGTTTAAGAAAGTTGACTACTGATGCAAACTTTACCTTTACATTTGAATAAAAATAGGCTGTAGGAATAACAGTGCATGTTGAATCCTTTAAAGTATCTATTTGGACCTAAGATTCTTGTAAACCCCATTAATCACCTTGAACATGTTTGCCCCACATGTTAAGAAAATCTGTGACATATTAGGGGTTTGCTAATATGTTTTTCTGAAGGTATCATAAAAATAATCCTAAAATAGGAAACCCAAAACTAACTTCGGAGCATCCCTAAGTTATTATTTCAGTAGTAATACATCTTTCTTTTCTTTTTCTTTCCTCACACATAGATGCTTTCGTTGGAGGAGTCATTGGCCTTGTATTTGCTTACATTTGCTACAGACAGCATTACCCTCCCTTGGGCAACATGGCTTGTCACAAACCGTATGTCTGTCTGCTAATTCAGACATCAATGAAGAAAGAAGAGACACCTACAGCAGATAATGCTACCAGCCTTCCTCTAGAAGGGATAACAGAAGGACCAGTATGACTAATACACATGCAGGATGAACTTTTAGCTCTTTCATACAGTCCGCCAAACCCAAATGGTATCTTTGCATAATCAGTGTTTTTTAACAGCTGTGATTCTGCCTTTCTTGCCCTTTTACTTTTACTGACCGTCTTTTCTTTAGCTTTCATGTATGTCCTCTATTGTATTTTCCCTTTTCTGTTTCCCATGTTTTTTTAAAAATTATTCCAATAAGACGATCGCTCCAAGGAAATAATTATTAGTTAAAGGGTTTAAGGCAGAACTGAAACTTTTGAAATATCATTAATTATGACTAATCATTATTTATGAAGCGCCTTCATGTATATATTTGCTTTGCAAATCATAGCACATTCATAACAGCCACGTGAGGCTGAAAGAGAGTGACATACCCAGTCTTACTCCAGTGGAGCAGACTGTCCACAAAGGGGGTTATCCATGCCTTCTGCTAAGAACTAATAGACATTGTCATCTGTGACTGACTCGTTATTTATTTTTCTTAGAGACATTCAACATGTAAAAAAGAGAGTTTTGTTTATCTCACATTTCTAAGTGCAGTTACAGCTGCATGTTTATCTTCCTCTGTTTATCTCCTAGTGGTCTAAGCAAACAAACATATGGATATGGTGTGTGCATGTGTGTATGTGTATGTATGTTAGTGTGTTTGATTGTGGCATATGTTTTGCAAATCCATCTGAACTGGCTGCAGTGAAATAAAAATCTTCAACTTTCAGAAATGGGACAGCCAAAATATTCAGACATCCGTCCTTTCTGACCTAATTGACAGCACAATTATGCAAAGCTGCTGAATCTGTCAGCTGGCAATACTGCAAAAATCATCTGGGCACTCTGGAAAAACCCAATATTGTTTGTTTGTGTGTGTGTGTGTGTGTGTGTGTATGTGCGTGCGCGCGTATGTGTGTCTGTGCATGTGTGTCTCCCATGAGCATATAGTCATTTAGTTTGAAGCTCAATGAGTTATTTTAAAACAATACTCTACAGTCCTTTGGAACACAACAATCCTTCCCCAAATCTCTAGAGAAAGTGATTTTGTGAGCTATGGTCATAAATGCTTAATAGTTTCTGTTGCCTTGATGAAACCCTGGCAGTTGGTTCAGGAATGCTTAATGTTTCTTCTGCACAATATGCACTTAGTAAATTTGTTTGTTTCAAAATGTGTCTGCTGCACCTGTAGTTTTTGTATCTTTCTCAAGCGCCATATTTGTAAGGTTACTCTATGACAATATGTACATGCATGAAAGGCAGTTATTTGATAGCATAGCTGCTAATATACATAGACCCCATTCTTCCCACATTTGGAGAAAAAAATAAAACTTCTCAGATGGACTCTGCATCATTCCTGAGTACCCTTTATTCATGAACAGTAATGCTAGTTTGCCTTAAAAGTTGGAAGTCTGTCTTCTGTATAATAAGAAAGGTAAGGGGGGAAAAAGCCCACTTCCATTTGATGAACCAGTTTGTTATTCCACAGAAAATCACTTATATACATCAATTTGAATTCTGCTGAATGTTTATGTACAACTTTTTTGGTTTTGGAACTTTTCTGCAATACTGGACATCAAAGTAAAACAGATATTGGGGTTAGCGATGCCAAGGTGGAGATCTTTGCCAAGATCAGAAAAATTGTGATCAACCTTTAATTTCTGATTAGATGTTTGGAAACTACCACCATCTTATTCAGCACTGCATTGAAAATATAAATCTTTTGAAGTAGAGAGGGGGAAAAGTGATATAATTTGCAACTTTTCAGAAATGTTGATACAGTATTATAGAAGAGGATAATATGTAGTAAAATCTTGCAATGAATTAAATATTTTTTCTTCTTCTCTAATAGCTAGCTAGATTATTGAAAGCTCTTTTGATCAAGCTATTGCAATAATGCTTTTAGTGTCTCATGGCCCTGCACATTGTCTAGTTCTATGGATGTAGCAAGCATATTTCTGTAAAATATGGCCTTTATCTTCCTTCCTTCCTTCCTTCCTTCCTTCCTTCCTTCCTTCCTTCCTTCCTTCCTTCCTTCCTTCCTTCCTTCCTTCCTTCCTCTTTTCAATAAAAGTTTGAATAGATAAGCTCTTTTGAAATAAATCCATTGGAGAATTAGTTTGTAAAAAGTTATAATCAAAGAAAGGCTGATAAAATCATACACTTAAATCATATAGTATATTAAAAAGTAATTTTTTGAAAAAAAGTTCTTGCAGTTTGTAAGGGCAAGAATTTTGGGAGTTTGTGAATCTCATAAATATTGGATATTGGATGATCCTACACATCTGAATAAATAAACGATGAGATAAATTACAAATAGATATAACACCAGCATAACATCAGGATTATTTGCCTTTATTCAATAAATATGCAAAGGCATAATTGTTGCCTATTCATGTAATTTGAAAAGATTTGCAGTAGTTGTCCGTAATGGCCAGATAGCTACATATTCTGTAAATCACATGCATATTCTGTATACGTTTTCAGAATGGTACATAAGGAGTTCTATTAAAAAGGTGCTCAACATTTTTATTGGGATATCTTCTGTGCTTCAGTGAAACACTGAAAAATGTTCAGTGTGATGCATGGAAAGAAGTAGCAGAATGGGGTTGTGATAACTCAATGGCTTTACTTATTTTTGGCTGTCACTGCAGAATACCCAAAGCCTTTGCAGTTAACAGCCATAACTGTGGATGTAGCTATTGTGGTCTTGGGGTTTCAGTTTTCCTGGAAGCTTATCTGTTTACGTGCTTTCAGGTATTTCAGTGTGATTAGTTGAACAGGTGCAGTATTTTATCCCAAGGTCATGCTTTTCCTTATCTATGTTTATTTCCTTTCTGAATGGCTGTAATATTGATGTGATGCTATTCCTACTATTTGTGCCCCACCGATGTGAGATTTTTAGAATAAAACTAGAAATTCTTTACTTTCTAAGAAGATATTTTTTGACAAAGCTCTCAAATCTATGCTAAGAGTTTGGGTGCTATTAAGAAAACATACCTGATGAAAATGAATGGATGATTTAAACCAGATGAATATCTCATAGTCACCTTAAAGCAGTAAGCTTTTCAAAGCCTTAGACCAGTGGTGGCGAACCTATGGCACGAGTGCCAGAGGCGGCACTCGGAGCCCTCTCTGTGGGCACACGTGCCGTTGCCCCAGCCTTGCCTCTCCCCGCAACCGCCTCCTTACCAGCAACCCCCCTGGAGGAAAGTCACCCCTGAGCGTGGCCCACGCAGAACAGTGCAGCCAAGGACATGGCAGCCAGAGTAGACAAGACTCTGCCCTCATGCCTCATCGTGCACAGTTGATGCTGCGGGATTCAGGCAGAGGGCGTGAGTGCCATGGTGCTACTAGGCGATCTGCAGTGGGCCGTGGAAGCAGTGAGTGGCCCTGCAGGCAGGCAGGGTGGGGCGGGGCAGGGGGTGGAGTGGGGACAGGGCCAGTTTTTGGGCACTCGGTCTCTAAAAGGTTCTCCATCACTGCCTTAGACATACTTCTCTTCAATATCAGTGTACCTGCAGTCAAACAAAAACAAGTTAGGTGTCTTAAATGAGAGGACTCCAGATAAAACCAACTTTTTAGTCTCTTGTGTGATTTAATTATTTCATTGACCAAATCATTTCTTTAAAGAATAATAATTAGTTTTCTAATTATTAGAAAAACTGACTCTTCTTCGTGAGAGAGTCCTTGTCAAAAAGAACATTCTAATATACAATAGATATCATTTCAAAGAAACCTTAATCCCTCCATCTTGCTGGTCCCATACATAAGGTCATATTACACATGGTTCCAGTTCAAAAGTAAGAAAACTAAAAACACATTAACTGTGGCCCTCTGTCTACTATATAGAAATTAGAGCTTTCACGATACGTTTTCATACTAATTCCCTCCCTCTCTGGCTGATAATATCCACACAAAAAAAGATAGGGCAATGTTGTTATTATGTAGAGTAGCTTTTATATGCAGGTTTGTTTATTTGTTTATTTATTCCTTATTTTCCCCCCACATAGTCTTGGTCTCTTTTCTGAATAAAATTGCCTTCACAATTTTCTATCTTTATATGGAGGATTGAAGCTTCTTATTGAGGTGTATGTGCACTTCTGGTGTTATCATGTCATACTGTCTAGTTCTTAAAGGTTTTCCTTCCCAAATACTGTATAGTTATATCTTGCAAAAAATGGGATTGGTTCAGTATGCTGCCAGTTCTGTATTTTAGCCTCAGCAGATTCCATACATTTACTTTGAATGTGGTTAGAAAATGTATTAACAAATAATTTTCACTATTAAAATCTCAGCATCTGATATTCAGTGCTATAAAAATACATACAGCGTTTGGTAACTAGGGGTTTTGCAGTACAGCAAAAGAATAAAAGCCTTATTCTAATGGAAGTAATTACTCTGAATGTAAAAAATATATAACATATAAATGTGTTGATTCTAATATAATTACACTGGATGTAATGATATAAAACTGATAGAAGGCTCTGGGGAAGCTGCAATTATTGGCTCAGGTTAGTGAAAAAAGTATTGGTGTGGATCTATGTCTATAATTTTGTGATCTTAATGTGAAAGAAATGTAAATGTTGTAATCCGCCAATAAAAACAACATGAATATAGGACTTTTACTTCATTGCATTGTAATTATTACTATTTTGTGAGACAGTTTAGGTCTTAACATGCAGTGCAGTGGTCTGCTGGACAGTACTGACAGGGCTATATCAATGTCTTGTCCTTGCCTCCATACATAGCAATTAATTTTCACAACCTGGAGCTCTGGTGTCAGTAATGCTGTTGCACAGTATTACAGAAAACATGTTTCAGGCAGTTTGGGAGAGACTGTGAATTCACAGGAGCCAAACTCTTAATAATAAGCACAAAATGTGGAAATTTGCAATAGTGGTGGAATATCTGTAGGTTGCGTGTAGGATGAAGGTGAAGGTTCGTTCTTCGAGCTTGGGGGTTGGTTTCTGAATGTTTCGTTATCAGGCTAGGTAACATCTTCTGTAGAGTTTAGGGCACAGGTCAGCAACCTGCGGCTCCGGAGCCGGCACGTGCGCTTCCCTGCTTCTCTCTCTCTCTCTCTCTCTCTCTCTCTCTCTCTCTCTCTCTCTCTCTCTCTCTCTCTCTCTCTCTCTCTCTGTGTGTGTGTCTGTGTGTGTAAAAAAGAGAGTGGACTCACAGTGTTCTCCGAGGAGCTGAAAAGCTTATTGGGCTGAGCTCCTCCCTTTGCTGTATCTCTGCAGGAAGCAAGAAACAGGAAGGGCAGGAGAGAGCTAGCTAGCCCAGCTATGCTGACTCAGGAATTCTGGGAGTTGAAGTCCATGAGTCATAAAAGAGCCGAGGTTGCCTACTCCTGAGTTTGTTGGAGAACAGCTTGAAGCCAGCTTGCCAGGTGAGCAGCAGATAGGAGAGAGGGAGAGAGAGAGAGAGAGGGAGAGAGAAAGAGAGAGAGAGAGAGGGAGAGAGAAAGAGAGAGAGAGAGAGAGAGAGAGAAAGAGACCCTTCTGACATGTAAAATGAAGCTAACACTGCATATATCCTTTTTACCTTTATTATATATATAATAAAGGTAAAGAGATTTTTACCTTTATTATATTTATAATAAAGGTAAAAAAGGATATATGCAGTGTTAGCTTCATTTTAGATATCAAAAGGGTTTTGCGGCTCCCAGTGTTTTGTTTTTGGTGGGAAACGTGTCCAAGTGGCTCTTTGAGTGTTTTGGGTTGCTTATCCCTGGTTTAGGGGATGTCAGTGTTCTTCCGTTTATAAGGGCTGACCCTCACCTGATGTAACCTCCCCATCACAAGGCTCTCACTGGTGACTCACACCTGACCCACCACAAGACCCTGATCTGATGGGACTCTCACCTGACTGACCTCACCATCACAAGACCTACTGACCACATGAAGCCCTTATAAACAGAAGAACACTGACACCGTTAACCCCCAAACTCCACTGAAGATGCAACCTAGCCTAGTAACAAAACATTCAGAAACCAACCCACAAGCTTGAAAATTTAGCTGAGTGTGTATTTAATTTCCCTCCAATGTGTTGCAGGTAGTCCTTGACTTACGACCACAACTGAGCCCAAAATTTCTGTTGTTAAGACATTGGCTAAGTGAGTTTTGCCCCATTTTACGACCTTAACGTTGTTAAGTGAATCACCACCATCGTAACAAAGTTGTTAAGTGAATCTGGCTTCCCCATTGAATTTGCTTGTCAGAAGGTCACAAAAGGTGATCACATGACCCTGGGATATTGCAACTATCGTAAATATGTCAAGCATCTGAATTTTGATCATGTGACCTGTTGTAAGAGTGAAAAATGGTCATAAGTCCCTTTTTTCCCGTGCTGTTATAACTTTGAGTGGTCACTAAATGAAGTATTGTAAGTCGAGGACTATCTGTATAAGTAGGAAAGGGAAAAACAACTTTGAAACATGGGAAGAAAACTGCCTATTGTTTTAAATCCAGCTGGACTTTAGATAAGGTGGTTTAGAAGATGTCTCTGACAGGCTCGATTTATTGACTTAAATGTGACAATGCAATAGTTCTTCTCTACTACTAATATCAAGAACTATCTGCTGATGCTCCCTGGTCTCCAAACAAAAGCAACATTCTTCCATCATATTTATTGGATCTTACTTTTAGGCTCCAGTGTTCAGATCAGACTTTGTACTCCATTCATTGTTACGATCAGCAAAACCAATTAGTGACTTTTGGCTTGTGTTGAATGGAAATTCTGTGCGTAATGAAAAGGCCTGGTTAAATGGAGATGGTATGATAGTATATCTGATGCCCAAAACAGCTAGTAGTCCATTTCCTAAATCAGAGCACTTCAGAGAAAAACATCCTCAGCTGACTTTATGTTAGTATTAAAATTCAATAGAGCCAATAGATTTTCATCCCAATATTAAACACAATTTCTTTACTCAGCAGGTACATTTACTCAGCAGCTTAAATCTGTTTACATGGCAGTGAAACATAAGTTAGAGCAGAAATATGTCAGTCTGGGGGGGGCTGTTGTTTGTTCTTTTTGTTTGTAACCCAGCTGTAATTTTGTGAATACAAAGAAGATTAAGTTTACACTGTTTGGTGTGATGTGCCTTTTCACAGCATAGAAATTTGTCTGCAAAGCTCATGTTCTATTCACACACAACCTACTATAAGTACATTTTCAGGTTATTTATCACTTTTTTTTTCTAGCTTCTAATGCACTATAGTACTTCAACGAAGAAAATCACTCCATTTTTATTAATACTATCCAGCTATATACACTGAGCTACTTACTTTCATGCAAACAAACAAACAAAAATTGCCACTCAGTGTTGCCAAATAGCTTTTTGGGACTCATACTATTGATTTATTTTGTGTGTTTATGTTTCTGTCCCATTTTTTTCTCTGAAATCTCAAGACAACGCGCATAGTGGTCTCTCCAGATTTTATCCCAATGATCACACTGTGAGGTTGGTTGGGTTGAGAGAAATATCCAGTAAACTGCATGGCTGAGGAGAAACTTTTTAACACCTTAATTGGTATCCTGCACTTGTTATTTCTGCAATTTCCAGTTGTAGTAATCAACCCTGGGGTATTTAATCAAGATGCAAGTTATTAGTGAGATCTTATTTGTGATATCACTGAGACTTGTATTTGTGGGAGAGTAAATGCCATAGTATCCTATATAGAAGGCAAACATTTCAACACCTGTCTCCCCATTCCTTATCCACCAATCCATAACTGTCAACAAAAAGTGTCCTTAAGTACCATTATTCTCTGCATAGTGTGATACTGATGCGTACGAATATCAATGACAAGTGGTGGCAAATAGAAGGGATGGAAGCATATATCACCTCACCTCAGAGCACCCCTGGGGAGCACAGTTCTCCTTAAGTCCACATTTCTGTTCAATTTTGGGGTCACTTTAATTGCTGATGACTTCTTTCCATCTCTTACTTGGTTACAGTGCCAACCAGGTAGGTGGTTGTGATTATAAATAGGGAAAAGCTTCAAAAGCTGAGTGGATTTGAAGTAGGGGATTTATGAGCCCAGGTGAATATAAATAACTCTGCATATAAATTGGATCGGAAATAAATTGAACTGCTTTCAACAGTTTTTTTTCCCTGGGGAGGCAGGACTTCGGTATATTTCTGAGCTAATCTTTGAAGGGGGCAGAGTTAAAGAAATT